AGTAATAATTGTTTTTCTACGCTTCCAATCGTTGCTCCAAAGGTCTTGTATTATTCGTGCAAGTATTCCGATTCGCGCGAATTATTTTTTTTGTACATATAAACTACAGAACTTTTGTATCAATGAAATGTTTACGTCAGGTGAGAGGTTAAGGTTGCTCTACGATGCGGAAAAAAGGTAATTTTTAATATTTTTTCGTTTTAACTACAAATTTATAATTTGCGCGTTTACATTTTATCTCAATTTCAATCCTGTAAAAGCGTTTTCAATTCCGTTCAGTCGTTCCGGAGTTATTACTTAGAATGCAAACGTCGGTAATTTTTACCTTCCAGCATCGCCTTAAATGTAATCGATGCATGGTGGACTGACACTAAAACTCAAAATGCAGTCAGAGATGTTTGTACCCGAGAAAGATAAAAATCAAATGCGTTAGCATTCAAACACATGTTATAATTACTTCTACACCTCAATGTGCAAGCATCTAGGTACATGTTATACTTACCACTACCCCCAAACAGCACAGTACGTCCTCAGGATCATCCTGAATATGTCCCAGGACGTCCTGGGACATTTTGAGGACATTCATATATCCACGGGATATCCTCGGGACGTCCTTAGGATACCTTCTTCAGGACACTTTTAGAACAGCTTCAGTTCAGGCTCAGGACGTCCTGAGGACAGCCTCAGGACGTCCTGTGGACAGCCTCAGTCCTATGTAAATATATCCTGAAGACGTTCTCGGGACCTCCTAAGAACACGATGAGGTCCCAGACAGCACAGGATATCCTATGGACATCCGTTTTATGTCCATTTCTGGTCGGGATATCCATGAGCCTTACAAGCTGTCTATAGGATATACATTTGTGGATACTATAGGGATATCCCCAAAAGGATAATTTTGTATATCTATATGCTATCCTCATTTGTACATACGTTATCTACATATCCGTGTTATCAAAATATTTCCCGAAGATATTTAATAAATATATATGTATGTATTAAACAGAAATTTACATTTACTGAATAGTTATTTAAATTTTATTAATTAATATTAATAATTATTTCATGATAAAATCTTGTTAAATTTTTCCTTCGTAACTACGAAAAATAATACACTTCTCAACAAAATTAAAGCATCACTTACTTTACCCTCCAAAAATAGGCAAAATTCAAGAGAGTGTACCATCGTCAAAAATGATCGTATCAAGATGTTCAAAAAAGCATTTTACAGCTTGAAGTTTGTACTTTACAAATTGGTACTTTAGAAAACGATCCTACTGATTTTTCATGAAATTACACGGATAGAAAAGGAGACCCGACGAATTTCAAAATTTTTTACAAACTTTGACAAGTTACATGGCGCGAATTAAAGATCGCATGCAAATGCAGTTTACAGCTTTCGAAAGAGTGAATCTTTACCTTTAATTTGCTTTTTTGTTGAGCGTTGTACGATTTTTTTTCACCGAGTTATTCAACATTAAAGTAAAAATGGTCCTTTTTGCTTCAATTT